AGGTGGCATACCCAAAGGTTAATTCCCACTTTTGTTCAAATAGTTGAACTAATATTTATAAATAATTTATTGCATCAATGAATGCCATAGATCAACTCTAAGGACTTTGTTTTTACACCAGCTGAGGCTCAGACTCAATATGTGCTATTAATGCAGCTTTATTTATTGGTTAGTTAATAGTACATAAACTTCTACTTTCAGAACTTTTCTACAGCAAGGATTTCTCAGAGCTTGTTCATATTTCTGTCAGGTTCTTGGTTCTCTGTGGCTTGTTTATTTTGGTTATTAGTTATTCTTGGATATTGGCCTCTTAATTGTGTGATGTTTGTTTGTGTTTAATTTTTTACTTTATTTTTTTGAAAGCTTTAATTAAGTAACTGGAATATATTTTTCAGAGTGGATACTGAAGCAGGCAGTTATTCATGAAAGACACCAAATTCCCTTGGGTACTGTTGCCATTGTCATGAATGCCTGGTACTGGTTCAGAAACATCAAATTGCAATTTTTGCCCACATATTAACCACATAAATGTCCAACAAGAAATTGTGAGAATTTAAGAATAGATGAACACAATGATCAGGCCATTAATCTTGAGGGCAAAATCTGAGAGAAAGTAAAAGAATTTGTGGAAGAAAACAGAACACTTGAAGTTGCTGGCATAAATCAATGATCTAATATGATATATATTTCTAAATAAATATAAAGCTCTACGTTTTCTCTAAAAGTTCTGTAGGAACTTACAGTATCTAGCATTTTAATGGCTCATTTTTTTTTCATGGCTGCCATTCAAACCCTAGATGTTTTCACTTATAGTGGAACAGCTCAGCTGCTGTCAGCCAGATTAATACTGCTGAAATCAACAGTCACACAGATTGACACCAGCTGAAGAGCTGTCCTAATAAATCTGAGTCTATTTATGGGGGCTGAAACCACAGTCATGTCTCCCTAAGGGCAGTTTTTTCACTTGAATACAAATGGCCTTGGCTGCATGAATGAATTAAATATTGAGGGTTCCGTTTTTCAGACTTTACTGTGGCTTCACCCACATCAGCAGACCTGATCCATATCTTTCCTTTGGAGGAATAATCCTTCTGTCCTGGAATGCTGACCCTCAGACTGTTTTACCAGAACCAGATGATTTTTAAGCTGTTGGATGTGTTATCAGCCTTAGATCTATGTCAGCATGGATGGAGAGGTGCAAGGCACAGAACTGAGAATGCTTAGTCAGAAGTGGAAAGTTGGGTTGAATGACACTTCTCTTCACCTGGCACTTCTTGAGGGACTGATGGATTCTGGAAGTGGATTTACCACATTATTACATCTCCAGACACAAAGTACCAGCTGGTACCTACTGCATGATGGTACCAGGGATACAAGGTTGAATGGGGCAAAAGAGCTCTTGGCTGTCTGTCCACATAGTGATTCCTGTCCATCTTCTCTGGACAAACTGTTTAAAAAGCAAAAAAGTGAACACTACTGCTGTATTACAGCTTCTTGCACTCTTTGGTGTCAAGTTGCATCTGCAGAGGTTGTGGAAACGAGATACTCACCTGTGTTGAAGTGGGGCTGGCTGCTTGCTCAGATGCTATCAGGAGTCAGCTAAACCAGATGTTTCTCAGGCTCCTTTGATATTTCAAAGGGGCAGGCTTTGTCTCTAACAGGATGTAACTATCCTTCCTACGGCCTAAGTAATAATATCCACAATAATAGAGAGGGTAATTTGACTCCCACATTTTGCTCCCCATTCCATATTGTCATCTTCAAGTAGGTGATGTTCCCAGCCTTGGCCAGCAGAGTCCATCCAGCAGGTAAATCTGGATCTGTGTGGGTGAGGCACCCAAGGGTGCCCTCATAGAAGACTAACACAGTTACCCACTTGACTTGTTCAAAAGCCAGATTCATGGCTCAGCCTTCACCTTTTATGAGTTCGGAAATTCCAGGGTGCTCCTTTTTTCCGTTGGACTTGCAGGCAGACTCTGATCTCACTTATTATAGGGCAGATCCACTGCAGGCAAGGAGCTGTTTGTGCCACACATTTAGAATAAACTGTTTTCCTTGATGAACTTTCCTTCTGCTCTTAGCAGATCCTATGTAGTCTTGCAGCTCTCAGTAAAAGTGTCACACACAGCAAACAGCATAAAACAAATCAATCATTTTATTTAGTCTAAAAAAACTGAAATGTAGTAAAACTGAGAAATGCATTTATGTGGCCAAGAAGGACATATTAAAGAGGGAGTGATATTTCAGTGCTGGGCTTACAGCATCAGAGCTGTTTTGCGTTGGGTCATGCTACCTGTTTCCATTCTCTGTGAATGGCATGACTGCAGAGTGATAGATAGTTGCATTCACAGACAAATATCCATGGAAGGTGAAAGGTAAAGAGATAAAAGGCATTAAAATTATAATAATGCTTCAAGATCCAGAAATCCATTAGACACTGCAACTGAAAAGCAATGAGGCTTCTTTGTTTTATTGAAGAGTAAGTGGTGTTTTATTGAACACTTGAAAATTCATTCTCTGGAAGAAGGTACTGAATTCTCATCAGCCAACAAAACATTGGCAGAAAGATGAAACTAAGAAACTCAGACTGAAAATGTGGGACAGACTTTTAATGGTAAATGAAGTGGATTTTCTGTCATTTGAAAATCTTAAACTCAGTTTTAATTATTGAACTTGACAGAGAAGTGCTTCCTGAGCCATTTATTGGAGTTGGTGCAAGACTCTCCAAGATTAAAGAAGAGCGAGAAACAACTGCAGAAATCTCTTCTAGCATTGTCAAACTCAGAAAGAGCTGAATACTGAGAAATAGAAGTAAAGATGGAGATTGTTGCCAGTCAAACAAAAGCCAAAGTCTTCCTGGCATTTTAGACTATCAATTGTCTGTGCATACAGTCACACCTGAGTGCACTGATTTGCAATCTGCATACAGAAATCAGCAGAGAGGCTGCTGACCTTGCTGGATATCTCAGCACCCTGCTCTGGAGCAACAGGATCACTCCTTAATCCCTGTCTCACCCGATCTAACGCAGTACTATCTTATGGTCACCACATGACAGACCCTCATGACCAACATCAGATGAGCTGTGAGTTTGCAAGCAGATGGATGTCCCTAACTCAAAGACTCCATCCTTGCTGACATACTTGACCACAGCATTAGCTAAGTAATTCACTGAGAGGAATAGGCAAGGGGAGTGCTCAAATGCAAAAACATTCACAAAAAGTGAGTGTCGCTCATAGCCTACCCGCTTTGCATCTGAGCTATCACACTGGCTGATCTAACTACTTTCATCTGCTTTTGTAAGAAAACATCTCATCTAGGTCAGAGGTATTGCTTTTCAAATAGTCCTTGTGCTAAAAGAAAGTCTGGGGGGTGAGGGGGTTGATCTCAAAGTCAGGTACCAGGTGGTAGCCATGTGCAGATGAAACTCACACGTTAGGTGGGATGAAGATAGCAGAATTCCTTCTAGAATCCTCAGCAGAGGAGAATGCACATGGCTGAGTATTGCTGGAACACAAAGGAGGATTGTAGGTGGCAAAGAAAGTGTGGGTGAGAGATAAATACAGGGACTGCTCTGAAAGTAATGCCTCCTATTTTATTATGTTGGCCCACGACAGTAGAGAAGGATGTTGATGGTACAGCAGTAGAGGATTAACTTTACACCAATATTCCATTACATTTTGTTGCTGCGTGGCAGATTGCAGCAGGGGGGCAATCTGACAGAATTGCATCTGACATGGAAGCGTGTGTGAAACAAAGGTGTGTCATTTAATTTCTTCATGTGGGAAAAGTGGCACACATTGACTTTCATTGACACTTGCTGAATGTTTATGGAGACTAAACAGTGGATGTGAGCACAGTGAAGCATTGAGTGGTGCATTTCAGTAATGCAACAGTGGCATGAAGGACAAGATACATTCTAGATGGCCATGCACAGCTGTCACCCCTGCTGGCATGCAGACTTTTGTTCATTTCTAGTTAAAATATATAGCTAATGGTGGTGACTATTTTGAAAAATAGTGCTTTGTAACTGGGGATTTGCTCTATGAAATAGTGTTATTGTGCTTTTTGGGTGACAATGGCCCTGCCTGGAACACTCCAATGGCAAGGGGGAACAGAAGTTAGGGCAGTTTCATTTCTCATTGGCATTAGAACATTCACCCATCCATCACTACCCATCTTGCCACACCAAGCAGGAGGGTTTGCCTACTTTTAAATTTATCTTGATACCTCTTTTACTCCAGATCCTGACTTTTTGGGGTTTCAGGTATGTAAATGTCTTTAATGTGACTTTGTTCCTTACATTGTTCAACTTCAGATGAAGAAAATAAGACTTTAAATTCTTTCAAATGCAGATTCAGAAGGCTGAGGGAAAATACCCTGCCTAGGTATGAATAAAAAATTTCAGAGATGAAAATCCTTCTTGCCAGACCAGGCTGTGCATTAAAAGTAATCAGAGTGAAAAAGTTATCAGAGACTTTAGCTCTCCTTACAATGGAGTTTGCATTCCAGTCTACCTGGGCAATATTCCTTATGCCCACTGGTGGCATAGGTTAGAAATAGGATGCCCAGGAGATGACATGTGCTCCAGTACACTCCACAGAAATCACAGGGGGGATACAAAGCATGGCAGTTGTCCTTCCTTTCTGATTCGGGTTTCTCTGTGAAGAGGGGTGCCCCACGGGGTGCACTAACAGGTCTGACCCCTTCTGCACGACAAGGGGAGCCACCTTTAATTAGACTGCATACATCACACATCTGGGGATATTTGCGTGCATAAAAGCCTCATCATTCATAACCAGCGAAGTCAGACTAAATGTTTCTTGCCTAGCTGAATGCCATGAGCAGTGTTATGGACAGGCTCTGAGCCTCTCAGAGCAGAGCTAAGTCATAGTGTTGGACCAATGTGCTGCAGCTTTCCCTTTAAGAGCCTTTGGCTAACAGCGATGCACTGAAATGCAGGAGGTGGGACAACACCACACACAAAAATGAAGAAGTGAAGGCAGGAAAAGTTTCTCCAGAGGAAAAATGCAGGGCTTGTCCTTCACCCTGACGTCAGATCTGTCTTTAATAAAATCCCCAAAGAGCCAAGAGAAAAAGGCAGAGTTCCTAGGCTAGGTTGCCAGTTAAGGATTGCTGTGTGCTCCCGAAAGTGGTGTTTTTGTTCAAAACGGCTCTAAATCTGGGTTCAATCAATGTATTTAATCCCGGCTTCCAGGGATGAGGTGGCTTTTGCCCTGGATTCTAGCAACAAGCAGCATTTTGCAGGTGAGTTTGGAAACTGCAGGAGTATCCTCTGCAAACACTCTTGTGCTTAGTGCATGGTAGGGTGGTGGGAACGAGTGCAGTGTGTGCGGGGAAGTGGGAACTGGTGAGTGGTGGGGAGGTGAGAGTGGAAGTGAGAAGGGAAAGGTGAGCTGTGGGGAAAAGGAAAGGAAAGGAAAGGAAAGGAAAGGAAAGGAAAGGAAAGGAA